GGCCTGCGGGACTCGGCTGTGCGCACCCTTCAGGTAGGACCCTCGCCTGGACCCGACGGCCGGGCGCCCGATGCCCTGGGGCCGGGATGTAGACGGTGTCTCCCACCTTCTGTCCCTCCCAGGAGGTCAGGGACGCTCAGACCCTGCGGTCAGACCTCGACCTTGCCAAGGGAAGGGTGCCTTTGCAGGCCTGACTCCAGGAGGAGTACCCCGCGCCTTGCTTCCGGCGCCCTCCCCCCCCCTCGCCTGGACCCGACGGCCGGGCGCCCGATGCCCTGGGGCCGGGATGTAGACGGTGTCTCCCACCTTCTGTCCCTCCCAGGAGGTCAGGGACGCTCAGACCCTGCGGTCAGACCTCGACCTTGCCAAGGGAAGGGTGCCTTTGCAGGCCTGACTCCAGGAGGAGTACCCCGCGCCTTGCTTCCGGCGCCCTCCCCCCTGTCCGCCCTCCCCCCTCCATGCGGCCTCCGCGCACCTGGTTCCCTGGCCGCTCTTTGTAAAGTCGCGCCGACAGTCTCCCGCCTTCTTCTAGGCATTGAGGAGGCGGGGCCCCGGAGCTGAAGTACATGTTTTCTGCACTCTCTGCCCTTCGTGGTGGGGTGGGGGGTGAGGGGAGGGGCTTCAGTTTTGCAGGCTCTTCCCTCTGGTTGGGGCACGATTGTCAATGTCACTAGCTCTCTGGGTCTTGTCGAAGGTGTCAGATACATAGCATTTTGATCACCTCTTATTTGGGGCCTATTGATTGATATACATGTGAATATGATTGGCGCTTAAATCCTTGACATTGGTTCTTTTCTTTTTTTACTTACATGCAGATTTGTGTATATACCCAGATGGTTTTCATCCACTTTGAGTAGTTATCCAAAGAAGCCCATGACTTCTTACGTTCGATTTTCTAAAGAACAGCTAGCCATATATAAAGCTCGGAACCCAGGTAAGGAGTTGGGGGGCTTGTGCCCTTCTCTGATGTAATAAAGAGCTCACTGAGCAGTTAAGCCGTAAATTTGATGTACACTGCCAACCATCCCTTGACTGCAGGAACATAACCTTCTATTTGAGGGTCTGAAATAGCAGGTCTAACATATTTTTCACCAATTTGAAATGTTTTTGTTATTAATCCTCACGTGAAGATATTTTTCCATTGATTTTTTTGTTGTTGTTGTTTTTTAGGGAGAGGGGAAGGGAGGGGGAGAGACACAGAGAGAGGAAGATCAGAGACACATTGGTTGGTTGCCTCCCACACGCCCCCAGCCAGGGCCAGGATGGAGGCTGCAACCTAGGTCTGTGCCCTTGACCAGAATTGAACCCATGACCTTTCAGTCCCAGGGCCTACGCTCTATCCACTGAGCCAAACCAGCAGGGCAGAAATGTTTTAAATAATTAAGAACTAATGCCATAGCTGGTTTGGCTTAGTGGATAGAGCATCGGCCTGCGGACTGAAGGGTCCCGGGTTCGATTCTGGTTAAGGGCACGTGCCAGAATTTCGGCAGCCTATAAGGTGATTCTCATCATTGATGTTTGTATCTCTTTCCCTCTCTCTTCCTCTCTGAAATCAATAAAAAAATATTTTTTTAAAAAAGAACTAATGAAAGATATTTTAAAAATAGCAGCATGTAGAATACAAAGCAACTAGGGAAGAAGTTATGAAAAAGCTTCATTTTGGGCCTAGTTGCCATTGGCTTAGAGGACCACCATGAATCATTTTATCTCTTGCCTAGCCCCTTCTGCTACAGGGAATTTTTAATGGGAGTGACAATGAAATAACTTCTGTGGAAGTGTTCTGTAAACTGTAAAGGTCTATGCAAATCACTGCTAACGCAAGAGCTTTTGTACTGAAAGATTTCCAGGTTGGATGTTTGACGACTCCCTAGAAAGGCTATAGGGCCTTCATTTGAGGTTGTAGTGTAAGGATAATAACTAAATTAATAATAGCTAACTTTTGCTTATGATTTCTAAAGCCCATTCACAAACAATACATCACAGGGCACTTCTGAAAATCAAATGAGATATAATAAAAATTCTCATAAAGAATTGGCTTATGAGACATAATTAAGGGCTCACACCTTTTTAAAATGTAGGAGTTGAAATTAATAAGTGGTTTGTTAAAGCATTTATACCCTTTTTAGTTAAGATGAAGGACATGGGGAATAATGACTTGATTTTAGAAAAGTTTAGTTTGTTTGCAACTGGTATTTCTATAATTCAAATCCAAGATGGTGGTATATGAATCAAGCCTGAATTTTGTTCTTTATTCAGGTGTTATGAACTTAATTCCTAAAAGGCTCGAAAAAAATGTTTGACTGAAATATGAAGTAAAGAACTTGAAGAAATTGATTACTGAACTGCTTAAACTAGCAATCAAGTTCTGAGTACTGTTTTGGTGATATGTGATATACTCCTTGATTATTAGATAAAAGACTTTAACAATTTGGATAAAGCACTAAAGTTATATATTTATTTATTTATTGTTATTCTTAACCTGAGGATATTTTTCCATTGATTTTTAGAGTGGAAGGAAGGGGAGAGACACAGAGAGAGAAGCATCAATGTGAGAGAGAACATCAATTGTTTGCCTCCTGCAGGTGCCCCGACCTAGAGTCAGGGATGGGGATCTAGCCTGCAACTGAGGTATTGGCCTTGACCAGAATCGAACCCGAGACCCTTCAGTCCTTGCGTCGATGCTTTATCCACTGAGCCAAACTGGCTAGGATTAAAGTTATTTAAATTGGTTAAAGAAAAGCTAAATCATTGTATTAAGTTGTGTGTGGTATAGAGTTGCGTAATAAAACTTACTTTTAGAGCTGATGTGTTATGATTTCTTGGAAATCTTTAGAAGTTATTCATGAGACATAAAGTTGTGACATCTTTTCTCATTCCAATCTGTAGAAGCGAAAAATTCAGAACTAATTAAAAAAATCGCGGAGATATGGAGGGAACTTCCTGAATCAGAGAAAAAGGTAAGCATATAGGTTTTCAACATTGCTGGCCAGTTATTCTGCAGTTGTCGTGCCCTTTAAAGGACCAAATGACCCAGAGATGATTTTTTGTTGTTGTTTGTTTTTTAAATATCTATTATAAACAAAGGAACTTCATACCTTCTGATCTACATAAATGATGATAATATGGATGCGTGGGATGGTGATGAAGGGTTGGCAGCAATGTGAAATTGAAGGCTACTTGCTAGACTCTCAAGATGGTTAGCATGTAGATGATGAAAAAGTCATGATTTTGGTCCATATAATGTGATCCCAGAGCACATTTTCCACATGATAGTTCAGTCTGTCTTTATCTGAAGTCATGCAATTGTCTTTCCTTGGTAGCAACAGTTTATTGACTTACTGTTTTTATTTATAGATATATGAAGATGCTTACAAGGCAGACTGGCAGGCATACAAAGAAGAGCTAAACAGAATTCAAGAACAGCTAACTCCAAGTCAGAAAGTGTCTTTGGAAAAAGAAATGATGCAAAAACGTTTAAAAAAGAAATCGATATTAAAAAAGAGAGTGAGTATCATTGAAATATTCTTTTCCTTTAACAAAGAATTGAAATTTACATAACTATATGAATATAGGGAGCTTTCTCTTATTTTGATGATGTGTGTGGTCCTATATGGTAGAATGTCAGGTGTACTCTAATTAGGAACAATGGGATCATCCTCTTCCGCTGCTAGGGCCATTTGTCATTGAGCCTGTCTTGGAAACTCTTGTTGCCACTTGGGGATGTATCTGATTTTAAAATACATAGTTAGGACTGGCATGAAAGCTGTAGGAACAGCCAAATCTTGGATAGTAAAAATCTTTGTTTCTGAGTTTTGTCTAGAATAGCCTACTGATTTGAATTGTTCTAAAGGTAATAGTGAATGTGATTCTATATACTGCTGAATAGACTAAATTTATTAGCACGTCAGGGAAAAGTCCCTATTGTAGCTAATCAAATAAGTCCCTTTAAGATGAAATACTATTTTTTCTCATTAAAAACCCTACATAGGACCCTGGCCGGATAGCTCAGTTGGATAGAGCATTGTCCTGATACACCAAGGTTGTGGGTTCAATTCCCAGTCAGGGCACATTGGGAATTGAAATAAGAAGCAGCCAATGAATGCATAAAATAAGAGGAACAACAAATCGATGTTTCTTTCTCTCAAATCAGTAAAAAAAACCCCAAAAAACCGATATAGTTCAAATTTTGTGGTTCCTAACTTAAGTATTAATCCACATAAATTCCATCATTTGAAAATTAGACATTTTTGTATAAAACCAGTATTAGATTTGAAGTGGTCAGCTTGCTATCTAGTTCATATAGTATAGAAAATGATCATCAGAATTAAAACTATTTCTCTGAAAAAGTAGGTTAGAACCTTTAATGTCAGATGCCAAGATATATATTCCTGATCCTAATGTTTTAAGTCCCCCTAAGGACTCAGCCAATTTCAAGTCAGTAATCTAAGGTTGCTGATCCAGTTAGTAAAAGGATTGAGTAAAGTACCAATAGAGAGAAATACAGCCTCTGCCTTAGGGATGGTATTTGGAGGGGTGAGTACTAAAGTTTACTCTCCCTTTTTTCTTAATGCATGCAGCCAGTGCTGAGTGGAGAACACCAGAATGAGGATTAGACAGAAGGGGTTTCCCTTTCAAATATTTCTTGTCTTCCTTTCTCTCTTCTGGCATTCCCATTATGTTTTTGTTACACCTATTTTAGTTGTCCCATAGTCCTGAGTGTTCTGGGTTTTTTAACCTCATCTTTGTTCTCTTTATTTTTGGGTTTTCAAGGATTCTATTAATATGTCTTGTAGCTCAGATTCTTTCGTCAGCTGTGTTCAGTCTAATAAGCACATCAAAGGCATCCTTTATTTCAGCTACAGTGTTTTTGCTTTCTAGAATATATTTTTATTGATTTTTAGAGAGGAAGAGAGAGGGAGAGAAAGATAGAAACATCAGTGATGAGAGAGAATCATTGATTGGCTGCCTCCTGCATGCCCCACACCTGGGATCAAGCCCATTAGCCGAATTGAACCATAACCTCCTGGTTCATAGGTCAATGCTCAACCATGTCTGCTGGGCTTCTTCCTCTACTTTAGATACTGAGTAAAAAGAATTGAGCCCATGTCTCTTTTTTTATTTGCGTTTTGGTGATCACATTTATTGGAAGGGTTGGAGAAAATTAAAAATGCCATTTAGCTTAAGAATTTATGAGTTATGTACAAATAAACTCATTTCAGGAGCAGAAGAATCCTTGGTCATTTTTTAATATCAAAATTTATACAGGTTTCTCTTTGAATATCTTATACCTTTAAAGACACAATCATATAAAGTCCTAATTTCCACACAGGATATATTCTTTGTTTCAACCAACTCTCAATGGAGGGGCAACTAGCACAACACCATCTCCCCGGGCAAAAAGCATTGGAATATTCCGTTTTGTTGATTTATATATCTCTTCATATATTTCTTCATCAATTTCTATAGTAGTCACAGTTTCTCCCACATCTCCCAATATCATACTTAAACGTGATCATAGGCCTGGGTTGCAGATTCGTTCCCAGCCTGGTCGGGGTGTGTTTGGGAGGCAACTGATCCATGTGTCTCTCTCACATCCATGTTTCTCTCTTAGCCCATTTTTGGGGGTTAAAAATTGAGAGACATGCAGGGAAGGAAATGAAATGAGAGATTATTAAACAGATAGTCTAGTGTTCACAAGCTGTGGTGGAAGCATGTAGTAGTTTGGCCAAAGAAATGGTAGTGCCCTGTAAGAATGAAACTGGGATTGTCTTATTTTTTAAAAAAGATTTGTACATATGTGCTCAGTTATTCAGTTCATGGAGACCATGAAAATAATATGTAAAGGAAATGTAGGGAAAATAACTCAAAATCTATTATGTTTTTCAAAATAATGCTATCAAATTCTGACCTCACGAGGGAATAATCGCATACTTTATATAAGAACCGGAACATCCACATTAAAGAATATTCTGCATAATGCATAGTAGTGAATACAGTTTCTGTAAGTAAAGTCTCAGAGATGTTAAAACTGTATCTAACTCTTCCATTTTCACTCCTCAGGAGTTAACACTGCTTGGAAAACCAAAAAGACCTCGCTCAGCTTATAACATTTTTATATCTGAATGCTTCCAGGGAGCTAAGAATGGTTCATCACAGGTAAAATAGATCTGCATTTATTTTTTAAATGTTTATTTTAGTGTTAGAAATAATTAGACAGGAAATGTTAGGGGTGCTTTTGCTTCTTCTATCATTGTCTTTCTTGGTTTACTGATTCTGTTATAGAATCTTCCCCAGTAAGGGTACATGGGAGATTAGTTTTTAGAGTTCTTGCATGTCTGAAAATGTCTATATTTTCACACTTGATAGTTTGGGCATAGAATTGTTTCATGTTCTTTGAAAACTTAAAAAAAAATACTCCTTTTATAACTTCTGTATTGCTTTTGAGAAGTATAAAGCCATTTTGATTATTGGTCTTTTGAATGTGATCTGTTTTGTTTTTGTTTTTTTCTCTGTTCTGACTCTAGAACTTTTACTGTTTGTTTATGCATCTTCTGAATTGATACTCTAATTTTCTTGTCTTCTCTGTATTGTTTTTTCTTAGCCTTTTTTACCCTTCTTTCTGGGATACAGTATACATTTTCATGTAATCTCCCTGTTTCCAGCATGGTATCACCACCCCCTACTATACCTGGTATCCACTGAGTAACTCATATTTTACTGTTGTGAGAGGATAAATGTCCTACAATCTGCCCATAGTGGGAATTTAACCTCTTTATAAACACTTTCTATCAGGCCTCCTAACCGTACCTCTATTTTATACCTATCTGGTGCTGCCAGTTCCTGAGCTACCTCGGAATTCTACGTTGTAAAACACTTTGCATTTTTGGCTTCCCCACTGCTGGTTTGGGAATAGCTTTCATGAGTTAGGTAAGCCAGGAACCATGGCTGCATCTGCTTTTCAGCTTCCAAACTTTTGTGTTGATAGTGCTCTCTCCTGTTTTCTTTGTCTGTGTGGGTTTATGCCTTAAATTTTTTTGTTTATTCATTTAATGTTTTTTATTTTAAAACTAGAGGCCCGTTGCACGAAGATTCGCACAATAGACCTTTCCCCTGGCTGCTGGCACCGGTTTTCCTCCGGCACCCGGGACCCAGACCTTTGGTCCGGCCCCACAGCAAGGCTTGGCTTCTCCCCTCCCGTTGTGGCGACCCAGGCCCCCAGCCATTCCTTGAGCGGAGTCCTGGGTCAGTGGGAAGCTTGGCTTCCTCCGTCACCAAGAGCAACCCAAGCCTCCTGCTCGCTCCAGCTCCAAGGTCGCCGCCATCTTCAGGCGTCTTCAGTATTCACTCCGTGCCTCCGTATGCAAATTAAACGCCATCTTTGTTGGGTTAATTTGCATAGTCGCTCTAATTGGCTGGTGGGCGTAGTGGAGTGACACCAATTTGCATGTTTCTCTTTTATTAGTGTAGATAACAAATTTATTGCTCACAGTTTTGGAGGCTGGGAAATCCAAGGTCAAGGTGCCATCACAGTTGCCTACTGATGAGGACCCTCTTCCTGGTTCCTGGCTGGTGCCTTCTCAGGGTGTCCTCACGTGGTGGAAGGGCTATTTAATGGGGTTTAGGAGGGTTCGATATGGTCAAGGGCATATGCCTGGGTTGTGGGCTTGAACCCCAGTAGGGAGTGTGCAGGAGGAGCTGATTGATGATTCTCTCTCATCATTGATGTATCTCTCTTTCTCCCTCTCCTTTCCTCTCTGAAATCAATTAAAAAAAATTTATATATATCCCTAGCCAGTTTGGCTCAGTGGATAGAGTGCCCATGGACAGAAGGGTCCCGGGTTCGATTCTGGTCAAGGACTCATACCTCTGTTGCAGGCTTGATCCGGACTCCTGGGGGAGGCAACCGATCGATGTGTCTCTCTCACATTGATGTTTCTTTCTCTCTGTATCCCCCCCTCCCTTCCACTTTCTCTAAAACTCAATGGAAAAATATCCTTGGGTGAGAATTAATAAAATATATATATGTATAACTTTAAAAAATTTTTAAAAGAAAAAGATTATGAAAAAATTGAAAGCATTAAAGTAATTCCTTCCAAATCTAAGAGTCAGAGCAGTTATTTAATGATTAACTGTCCCTGAATATTAGAAGTGTTTATGAAGATCAGTTAAAAATGTTCAAAACATAATGGTTATGTAGTCTGAGGTACTATTTGGTACCTCTTTTTGTTGTTGTTGTTGTTTGTTTTATTTTTTATTTTTGTTAGATATATTTTATTGGTTTTTTACATAGAGAAAGGGAGAGGGATAGAGAGCTAGAAACATCGATCAGCTGCCTCCTACACAACCCCCACTGGGGATGTGCCCACAACCAAGGCACATGCCCCTGACTGGAATCGAACCTGGGACCCTTCAGTCCGCAGGCTGCCGCTCTATCCACTGAGCCAAACCGGTCAGGGCAGGTACCTCTGGTTTTGTCAATAGGAAAATAAAATTCATTCAAAGTTCTGCTCAGAAATAATGACCCTCTCTCCTTCACACTCTGCTTCTTCTGCCCCTCATTTGCCACCCACCCACCTTCCCTTTATTCTCTGTGCTCTGGGAGCAACAGCATAGGCAGCGTGTTGTGCACTGACTCTGACTCGTCTCTGCCTCTCTTCCAGCCATGGGGTCCCTGTATCCCTTTAATTTTATAGAAGAACCAAGCCTAAGGGAGGTAATAGGTCTTTTTTTCTGAGTCACTTAATTAAATTCAGCTAAGTAGAATTGAAGACTGGTGTTGTATTGTTCTTTTGACTACACCTAAACACTTTGGCACCCATTTTAGAACAAAACATTAAGCTACAAGAAGTTAGACTATAACATAATATACTTGAATATTAGTATTTCTGAATTAAAAAAAAGATAAATTTTATCTGCACAGTAAAGGAAATCATCAACAAAATGCAAAGCAATCTATCGAATGGGAGTAAATACAGGCAGTCCTTGGGTTACGTCAGACTCGATGTATGTCATTTTGTGGTTACGTCGCCATCTCCCATCCTATCTAATAAAAGACAAAAAGGGTAATTAACTGTATCTTCGCTACGCTTCCCATTGGCTAATCAGGGCGATATGCAAATTAATTGCCAACAAAGATGGCGGCTAATTTGCATATGTAGGTGCCAAGCGATGGAGCGAAGCCTCCTGGCCCTGGGCAGGTGCAGCGAGCGAAGACTGGTGCGGCAAGTGAAAAGCGAAGCCCTCAAAGAGCTAAGCCCCTCGCCCGCCGCGCCAGCACTGCCCCCGGCGCAGAGCTAAGTGCTGAGCCCACCGCGCCAGCACCGCTCCCTGCACAGAGTTAAGCGCTGAGCCCGCTGCGCCGGCCCCTCCCAGGCGAAGAGCGAAGGCCGGGGTTCTGGGCCCCGGGGGAAAACTGGTGCCAGCAGCCAGTGGAAGGGG